GGCTTTTGGAAAAACCTTATAAATGGTATTAAGCATGTAGAGTAAAAAGTCCAAAAATGGGATTTTGATTTGTTTTGTTCTTTCACATGAATGCTCTTCATCTAATGTTTCATGACAAATTTTGAATTATCATGTTTCAAACTTCTTACTCTTGTTTATTAGGTTTTTTTTAATAGTTCAAGGGGTTTCATAGAATTTAAAAACATAAAGAGGGCTTTCTCTTATTTATAATCTTTAAAGGGATTTTGTGCAAAAGCCTACAGTTCCCGGGTCCAGTGAAATTTATAATTGAATTTTTGGGTAAGAGATCTCCACAAAGGAGAAAAGGAGAAATTATAAGGAGGTTTCTTTTGTCATGGTTATAGCGTATAGGAATAGTTTTCAAGTGTTTTAGCTACGCCTTTCACTTACTATTAATCTGAACAGAACTTTCCTATATAGGAGTGGGGCGTTCTGAACCATAAAATGGATGGTAAAAGCTTTCGGTAACGTCATTAACAGTTTACTATATAAGTTGATTTTTGTGGATTAGTTGGGCATTGTCTTATTACGTAAGCGGCCTCCAGACTTTTTGGGATCAAACATTTTGATTAAGAGATAATATCAAATATTCTAGAATGGCGAGAGATCGCTTCTAAGACTTTCGGACGGTATAGATAGAACTTCGACATAACATATTATAACTAAAGAGTTTAAGGTTTTACATCTTTATTGTATTTTACAATATATGTTAACAAGTTGCTTTTATTTCGGCTAAATGGCACTTAAATACCTATTTTTTTAATGTTCTATGTTGTAAAAAGAAGCACTTTGATATCTTAAATTGTAAGAAAAGGGATAGCACTTTAATAGCCTAAGTTATAAAGATGACACTTAAATACCCTATTGTTGTTAGAACTCAAGAATTGATTCAAAGGAATACTGGAAGGGTTTTATTGATTGATAGCAAACGAAGGCTATATATAGCCAGTACAAAATAACTAAGAAAGTAAATAGCTAACCACATC